TAAACTTGTTCCAGTATATTCTGAACTTTCAGTAAGGCTGTGAACAGCATTTCAAGTTCTTAACTTAAAGTTTTCTTTGTTTTCAGCTAATTGTTTCTTCAATAATTCTATTTCATTAATTAGTGTTTTGTTTGCTTGTTGTTGTTCATTTATGATGTTTGTCATGATTTTCTTGTTTGTTCCTTTTTTTTATTTATTCTTTTAATATACTTATATCCTTAAGGTATGTTAAGTATATAATTATTTTAGTACCTTTTTACTTTAAATGTGGAAAAAAGCTAACAATATTTGTCAAAAGATTAAACTTATTAAACTTGATAACGGCAAAGAAGTGATGAAATAATGAAGGTGATTTTGTTCTGAATATTTTATTTGTTGCCAGTATAGAATGGTCTTGGGCAAGTAATATCTTTGAATTTATCTCTAACAAACGGACGAATATTATGATAAAGATATTCTTGCCTTTTGTAATCCAAAGGAGGTGGTGTTAACACTAAAATAGATAAAGCTTTAATTTCTTCAAAAATATCTGTTCTCCTAATGAATGTCTTGTTGCCAAATCAACATAATCATGGTATCAAGTTTGCTCAAGTATATGATGAAGCTCTAGTTTCCAGCAAGCACTAATTGAAAAAACAATTGTCCTGAAACTTTCTTGTTGGACACAGAAAGACTTTGGAGTTTCCAGAATGAAGGACAAGCAATCACCATTGTAGCCATATTGGTTATGTTGACCAAGAACATTGCTATGGTTCCTCTGCTGATTCAATTAGCAAGGAGGAACTTGAAAAGTTGAGGAATAATCTTTTTGTGTTGTTGATGGATTGTGACATAAAAATGGACAATTTGACAATTAAAATTTTGTCACATTTCCCATCAAACATTTCATCTGAAACCCAATCACTTGTCATATCCATGGATTCCAAAAAAGGAAGCCTTATCTCAATATGGTATTTTTCCTGTTGCTAAAGAATTGGAGCAACTCAGGTTTGTAAATTGCATTAATGACAATATATAATGGTGATATTTAATGATGATGATGATATTTATTTTATTTATTTATTTAGTCAAAAGATTTTCATATTGATGCTTTATAATTGAGAAGTTTATGCTAGTTGGTATGATAAAGTCATTCAAGAATGATCAGATAAAGTTAGAGAAGAAAATCAATTAAAAAAGAAAAAATTGCATCAAAGAACAATAGTACAAACAATAATCAATTTTCTTGTAATTAATTAAATATTTATAAAATACCAGATATTATATTTATTTAAAATAAAAATTAAATGAAAAATATATGCTGTTTTTTATTCAATTGAATGAAAATTTATAAAAATTAAATAATCACTTTGCTAATATAAAAAAACTGATTGAATATTACCAAAATATAAAAATTATATGAATTTTTCAATTAAATATTATCAAATATAGAAATTATATAAATTTTTTGTTTGAATATTACAAATTATTATATATAGAAATTATATAAATTTTTTGTTTGAATATTACAAATTATTATATATAGAAATTATATAAATTTTTCAATTGAATATTAAACTAAATATAAAAATTATATAAATTTTTTTGATTGAATATTAATTACCAAATATAAAAATTATATATAAAAGTTATAAAGAAAAAAATCAAAATCAAGGAGATTTAATTGTAGTGAACACACTACTACCAGAAGGTGGCTCAAATTCCAATGTTGGTATATGAGGTGGTGTGGTAGTTTTTTCCTCTACTGATGTGTTTAAAAGCTCAACCCTGCTGATACCTTGTCTGATAATGTTTTTAAGAGACATCAAAGATTCACATAATTTGATCATCTTATTAATTAAATTGTTTGTGTTGCAATGACTTGAGAGTGGGAGTTCAACCTTGCAAAATGGTTTGATGGTGAGAAAAGGTGCATCTATATTATCTAGGATTTTGATCTCCATCAATGTTCCATAAAAATGGATTGAAATGAAAGGAAATTTTTTCAATATATACCTCAAATTGGATAGATTCATCTCTTTTAAAAAATGGTATATATGCTTGAATGCATCTTTTGAGAATTTACATAAACGAAATTGGTCTTCTGATACATGACGATCATGTTCAGTACCAGATGCCCAAGGTCCGTTGCTTATCTCTAAAAAAAGATATTCATAATGAAAATTACATTGTTGGTTTTCTGCATATGCAAAAAAATCTGGAAACTTGTTTGGGCCTTGGTCAGTTCTGTTACGACATTTGGTAGATTCAGATAAACTGCCATCCCTAAATGAAGGAATAAACATGTCTAGATTAATATTTGATATCATTAATAATAATAATAATAATAATAATAATAATAATTTAATAATAATAATAATAATAATAATAATAATAATAATAATAATAATAATTTCAGTAAATAATAAACATTACCATCGACATTCTAAACCAATATCGTAAAATATAAATTTAATAATGTGACTAACAATATCGTGAGAAAATGTTTTTTCATTGATGCTTTTCTTGCAATTTTGGTATGAGCTGGTTGACCAGATTTTTTTAAAGGCATATACAAGATCCACTAATGCAAGTCGTGATCGTTTATCACGATAATGAATATTTGATAGGCTGACATCATTATTAATTATAAGACTTTTGATTATAATTTTCTCTTGCTCAACCAATTCAACACAATGTTCTTCATTATATTGAAGATCCAGAAGCTTCTTTTTTTTCAGTTTTTTGAATAACATAGGTTGTTCAATTTTTAAATATGGTGCACATAATATCCCTTCTGATAAGAGGTCTCCATCATCAATTTCATCACAATTTAATACCTCAAGAGAAATACTTAGTGCTTTTGGGGGTAGATCAGGATGCTTTTCAATGTACTAAAATTGTATATTAAAAAATAATATTAAAAATTGAAAAATTGAACAGAAATTGTAGCTTAATAAATAATCTTACCAATGAAATCTTTTCATGAAAATGATTTATGTCAAATCCTTCATCAACTGTATTAATATCATCATATTCTTTATCATTGTTGCTATCATCAGAACTACTATCAACATTATCTTCAGATACTAATTCTTCTATTTCTATACTATAACAAGATATAACAAATTATTTTAATAATTATTGTGATGTAAATAATCAGAAAAATTATCTCACAAAACATTATCATACCTTTTATTTTCAGTAGTGAATTTTTTAATAAAGTCATGTACTAATTTGTAACCATCAATGTCAATCCATGCAGTTTTTATGATGGAATTCATAGCATTTTGATCCTTAATAAAATGAAATAAAATAATACGTTAGAATGCTAGATCTTTTTTTTAAAAAATGGTATATTTAAATTAATAAAGCCAATGATTAGATTTAGAAGTATATAATCAATTATCCTGAAAATTATTATTTTTAATGAGTGTTTTTAATGATAATAAATTATTCTTATTTCTTCCTGAGATCAATGAACCTTTTGCTTTCTACTCGGCTAAGACTTCTGAGACTAAGCTTTGTATACAAAGCTAACATCTCAGGAATCAATGAACCTTTTGTACCATAAAACATGGATTTTACTGTTTCTACAAGCTTGCCAAATTGATATTAAATATTTCTTGAATTAGATCTAGAGTCCATGTTTTATGGTATCCTACCAGCTTACCATATTTTTTTTTGTGTATCATCATTACATTATTAATAATCATGAACATAAAAAAGCATGATGCTTACAGTGGAAGTTTCCTCTTGGAGTTCTTGAAAATTTATTTTACCAAATTCAGTTAATTGACTGTGGTCTTTTTCCAAATCTTCTATGATAATATTTACATAGTGATTTTGTATTTCCTTGTCTTCTAATAATTTCAAATAATATAGTCTTGAGAAAAAATTAGTCATAATGTCTTTTTCATAACTAGCTCTATTAAGTAATGTAATGAAGATTTCTTTTTGTTGTGAAATCAGACATTTTGTATATTGTGGAAAAGAAAATCTAAATGATATATATATATATATATATAGAAGTTGTGATTAGTAAATTTTCTATATATATATATAACTAGAGTGATGAGTAACGATGAGTGGTGGGCGATAACCACCATCACCATCCTTAAAACACTTACCCATCATTTTTTGTTTTTTTATTACTTTTATTTGTAAATGAGTTTACGCGAGAAATTTTTATTATATAACAAGAGTTTTTTAAAAAATATTGAGTTAAAATGAGTTTTTTTTTACGCGATTTATAATAACAAAGTTTTTTTAAAATTTAACTAGAGTAACGACGACAAGTGGCGGGCGATGACCACCACCACCATCCTTAAAAAGAGTGATGAGTAACGATGAGTGGTGGGCGATAACCACCATCACCATCCTTAAAACACTTACCCATCATTTTTTGTTTTTTTATTACTTTTATTTGTAAATGAGTTTACGCGAGAAATTTTTATTATATAACAAGAGTTTTTTAAAAAATATTGAGTTAAAATGAGTTTTTTTTTACGCGATTTATAATAACAAAGTTTTTTTAAAATTTAACTAGAGTAACGACGACAAGTGGCGGGCGATGACCACCACCACCATCCTTAAAACACTTACTCAATTTGCGTTTCAATGCGCCCATCTTCTCGATTTCTTTTTCTTGTCGTGTATGACATTTTTTTAAAGAAAAAAAGTTTATTTGATCGACCGACAACGCGTCTAATTATTTATCCTATTGGTTTTTTTTTTGTAGGACAGACGCGAATTGATTTTTTTTTTTCTTGGAAAAACAATTTATTTTTTGACAGAGTCCAAGGTGACAAAACATGAGCGTTGTTGTTCGGTTTGGTTTGGTTTGGGTCTCCTAAAGAAGAAGTGTTAATAATAGAGGTACTATTTTTTACTTGTATTGATATTTTTATTTTATTATAAATATTTTAATTGGAAATCAAAACGCGGAGCAGATCATTGCTGGGTAATTACAAGATTTTCATTGATAATATTCTGCTTTTTATAATAATATTAATATAAATATATTATTATAATCACAAGAAGATGTCAATGCGGCACAATTGAAAAAGAAACAATTTGAGTATGCAACGTTTGATTATCGGAAATTTTACAGATGTTGAAGCATGCATGCTGCCTTGAACACTTACAGTCATTCACACATCTTCCTCGTGTACACAAGGCTGATCTGACCTGCTACACTCGATGATACAATGATGTTGAAATCCAGGGGGGGGACGCATGGCCCTGAGTTTACTGAGACTGCATCAATCGTCAATGACACTTTCACTAATCTTCCCTCACCAGAGATGGTTGCTGGAACACTAGACAAAAAGTTGCTTGTAACGATCCTACCTCTAGGGCAAGGATGGCACTGTGACCAAGAAGTCGCAACTCTGCAGATGAATTGTAGTGCCATGTAAATATCCAGATCCATTGAAGAAACAAGAATCTGCAATTTGTTTCAAGCACAGGAGGTCACAATTCAGAGCAGGGTTGGTGGCCCTGAATTGCATTTGGATTCTGATGCTAAGAGGGAGGTTGTAAAATAGTGTTTGTTTGTATATTCATTATTTTCATAACGCTCTGTTTCTCTGATGCTAACCAATTTAACAGGAGGGAACGTACTGGGAACACAAAATTAACAGGAGGGAACACAAAAATTTAACCCATGCAATTTTGTGATT